GCGCTTTCCGGCACTATTATTTTATATTTGCGACGTATACTATAATGCACCGCACTGTCGCAAATATCAAGATGAAAGGTTAAATTATTGTTCCGATTCGAACGAAGAAAATCGAATTTCAATTTGACGTCTTTGCGCATTGCAACTAACTGTTTCTGCGCTAAAATTTTCAGCTAATTGATAGCGTAATATATTGCTAATGATTTGCCAGCTTCTTGAAAACAGCTAAACAGTGGCTTAAATTAATGTATTTACATGAATAGAGACAAAAACACAGCAGCTAATAATACTCTCGTTAATTTTATATGATATAGCGTCGCGGCTAAAGCTCTCCCGCCTTCTATACGGTCTGTAACTTTGATTTACGTGTCTGATTAGTTGGATCCGGTTATAAGCTCGATTGTTTTTTACCACGTCCGACGCGTATATAGTATTCGGTCGCAGTGCGACTCTCACGAATGGTCCAAAAAAGTCAGCCATCGGAATTTAGGTGCATCAAAGCCGAGGAGCCATGCGCTGAGATAAGGACGAGCTTTATGATTTGGCACGCGCGTCGACCATGAGAATTATACGTGGAAGCGAACAAGAGAGGGGAAAGAGAGAGAGAGAGAGAGCAATGAGAATAAAAGATAAAAGATCAGAGCCGATGCACAGGGTGCTTGTCTATTCAGCATAGGAAGTGGCCGATAGCCCATCGAGTCAAAGACCGAAATTCATCCTTCTCTGCGCCGCTTTTTCTCTATAGGCATATCCGTGATTCGAGTGTCTGTGCTTTTTCGCATTTTCGGATAAAATCATATCAACATGAAAATTGAATGTATCAAAGTAATCGATTTTTGTTTGCCATCCGATTAATACCTAGTGGATCAGCGAAAGTTTCAGTTTCTCACGCGCAGATTCGGCTTCCTTTTGCTTCCCGTTTTTTGAGTTTTGAAATATTTATATACTTTTATATCCTCATGTAAGCCTCGCGTAATTTATGTGTATCCAAAAATAAAGTATGTACCGAGCGCTACATGGATGCAGCGTATATCGGCCTTGAGCTCGTGCTTTTTGACTCGTTCAAAGGAATATCTCATTCGTGCATTGAAACTCTCTTACACACACACAAGCTTTACAAACGCGCGCGCGCGCGCGACGGAATCGTACGAATTTCTCTCGAAGCTTGAAAATCATTTTTTTTCTCGCGCTTCTCATGGCAAAATAAATATAAATTACAACTAGCGTGGGAGGCTGAAATAAAAAAAAAGAGTTGTGTATATCTATATATACTGCGTTTCAACAGTTCGCGCGCTCGCCTCGTTGACTCGTGTATATACATGCGTATATATACGTCTCCATATAAAGCGCATAGGTATATAGGCGGTGCCGAAATTGTCCCAATCATTCATCGTTGGGCGAGCAAAGAGAGGAAAAAAGGTAAGAGTAAAATAAAATAAAAGAGAGAAGAGCTGGAGAGATGAAAAAAAATGCATTACATTCTCCGGCATTCCTCGACTAGCTCGGCGCTGGCACACACACACAGACACACACTGGTTGATGTCATTTATCGCGCGCGAGCACCCGGCTTATAAGGATGCATCGTGGCGCACGCCTGGCACAAGACACACACACGCGCGCGAGGGAGGTATAGGCATATATATATATAAAGACGGCGCAATAACGAGCGAAGCATAAATCGTCGCGAGCAATTTTCGTCGTGGCATCAAATCACGTCCGGCTCAACTGCAGTTATTGTGCGTATCTATATGTGTGTATTATACGTGTGTGCGTGTGTGTGTGTGTGTACGTTCGGAAGCTATATGGTTGTACGCGAGCGACGCAATCCTGTCGAAATCATCGGCCTGGCCATACGTATATGTGTACAGCAGCGGTGGCTCTTCAACTGCACGCGAGAGCGTATGACAGTAGCAGCAAGCCAGCCAGTGCGGAGAGATCGTTATAACGCACAAATACAGTCGGCACGAGTGCGCTACACACACATATATCGGCTATATGGCCGAGGCTTGGTCGCGCGCAACTGGCCTGCATAGCACCGATTACGGCCCGAGTCATTAACTGTCGCGATAAATCATCGCCTGATCCTTACTCTCTTCTGCCTCTCGATCCCTCCTCTCTCTCTCGCTCGCCTGTGCCCGGAGATGCCTTGCGATTCGGAGCTGCATAATACGTGTGTGTACTTGTGTGTGCCTGAGCTATATCCGCATTATAGAAATACATTGCTCGCGCGTTTGGCGCATGGCTATGTTTTATATGCGGTTGTTTAAGCCCCTTGTTGGATTTTTTTTCCACTTTTTTTTCTCTCTTCGTGCGCGTTCGTTTCATTGGACGCAACGCACAACAACAGTATACCTAAGCGTCGAGCTCGCTCTTTTGTATTGTGTCTGCGCAGGGCGCGTATATGTGCCGCGTATACGAGCTACTAAGCGAACCGAGGGGGATTCATTGTCGGAGCCAATTGATGCGCATTTATTCACGATATACATAGTGCAGCCTATGCTATATAGTGTGACTTATAGACACGAGGCCGGGCTGACTTTTCTTTACACTGACAGACCCCGTGGCTGAATTTTTCTGTAACCGAACTATATCTCCGAGGCTGGTGGCAGAAATCTATACCGTGTATCGCTGCTACCGCTTTTGTAGCTTGCGAAACTTTGTATTCCAGAATGGAATGCATCCACACACGCACTGGCATGTGTCCGTACACGCGCCAACAGTTTTAGCTATTATATCTATATACGTGAATGAAGCATAACATGTATCTGGGCCGACGGTGTCTTCTTCGCCATAATACGCGTGCTAAAGTCGTTTTCCGGTCTTGTACCCATACGAATTCCACGCTGATCCAGTTTTTTTTTACGATGTGACCAATTCAGACATTCATTCACACCGAGTCGAAAGTGGGCTTTGAAGTCGCTCGGCCCGCGCGACATCGAGCCGAAGAAAGTTTCCCTGGCCACTTCAAGGCAGAGTCCTTGCATCTGTATACCATCGTAATACGCGCGCACTGCAGCGAAGGTTTTTATTAACTCGAATGCACTCACGCACTCCATTGAGCGAGTATCGAATTGAGTAGCTCGTCGAATTGGCATTGAATTCGAGTCGAGCGAAATTCACGAGGAGAAACTGTCTACCCGAAGATACACTTTTTAAGCTGCGCGTGTATCGCGTGTATGCAGTTAATTTTCACTCATTAAAATGTCATCGATGTGTATTACAAATTGATTTAGGGCCTCTCGTGCCCGACGGGAATTCGGAAAAATTTCATTTCGATTTCTTTGATTTTTCGACGATAAGCCTCGTACATAGTACGCGTAAACACGCAAGAGAAGCGTACGGATGTATGTGCTTATATGCGATCGTCGCCACTGTTATTCATCTCTCTTACCTATGTCGTGCGCGTTCGTATGATATGCAAATAAAGGAAAATTAATAAACTCGAAAATACCAAGACGCGCGTTCAAAAAGAGTAACTACGAAATGAAGTTATTTACGCGTTGTGTTTTTTTCTTTCAAGCATTTGTACATCGCTTATGTGTAAACGCGTGCGTAAATAAATAATAAGCAATAAAGCAACAATTACGAGTAAATAAACAAAGCATCTCGCGTACGTATAGGAGCATATTTCACGATAGAGCGCACCATTCATCAAAAGACGTTTTACCTTTTCTTTTTCAGGCCTTAACGGCCATAATATATAATGAAATCATCGTCAAGCCTGACATTGAATACCGGCTGTGTAATTAATACACGTACGCGGCTGTAAGAGGCATACACGTTCGAGAGAGTGCGAGGGACTAAAAAGAAGACCAAAAGCAAAGCGAAGAGAAAGAGAAGGAGGAACAAATGAGTATATAGCGTTATAGCCACCACACGTAACAGTCCACTTGTGCGTGTGCGTGTGTTTGTATAGGCATTATAATCCGCGAGCATTTATAGCACACAGTGACTTTTTCATCGAGTAATCGCCGTCATCGTTCAACTGATTTATCCAACCTTCCGTACAAATATTATAGCACCGTAAAATGACTTCTCGAACGAGACGAGGGAACTTGTCGCGCCCTCGCCGCAGCGACGGGGCAGAGATTCTCGAGTCTCGATATATAAATCAGTTTATATCGTTCTTTAATCCAGCTCTTCCGCGATACGTAAATCAGAGCGAGTTTCGCGAGTACAGTACGGCAAGACGTTCCACACACACACACACACACACACAGCTCCGAAAGCTGAGCTTTTTTACAAATACGATTACTTTCTGCGCTGCATTGATCGTCGCAAAGTACGACACTACGCGTAATACAGTTTTACGCGCAGTCGCGCCAAACGCACGTGTGCAGTTAATACGAACGTGCGTCGACGTACAATACACGCAGCGTCGTAAGGTGCGCGACAAAAGCCCCGCGCGCGCGCTGCATCGTACGCGATTCATATGTATATTGCGCTACGAGTGCACCGTGACTGCACTGCCTAGTATAGGTCTATACTCACCCAAGAGCGAGAGAAAGAGAGAGAGAGAGAGAGATAGAGCCCAGGGCGCTGTATATATAGATATCGGCTGGCGCGCGCCGCACCGGTCGAGGCGGAGCGTGCGCTGCTCGTGCAAAAGCAGCAGCGGCAATATATAGTACGAGCAAGCGAGAGAGAGAGAGAGAGAGAACACGCGATAGTAGTGGGGCCATCGGACTCGTGCGCTCTGCGCGTTAAATTCTGCCGAGCAAAGTAGAAGCCAGTACCGAGTCAGGACTCGACGTATATAGAACTAATGCCTCGACGCGCGACAGAGCTGACGATCAGCCCTCGTGTATCACATGCCCTTGCGTCGTCGTCGTTGTTGTTATTGTTGTGCCTAATTTTGCCAGCTCGCAGCCGGTGATGGCTGTCATCGATCGCTCGGCCGATCGTCCAGCGGTGTCGAGTGCGCGCTAGAAAGGCCCAACGATGCATCGATGCAGTTCTGTGAATTACAATCGCACGTCGTTGTAAAAAGTTTAAAAAAAATAATTTTTAGTGAACGTATCGAAGACAGTGCGCGAATGTGATTTTCGTGCGTCGACGGTGTTTCGTTGTGCTTTCTGCAGCTCAAATACAGTGCCAAATTCTTGTCGGAGTAGTTGCTGCGCGAGTGCTAGCGAAAAAGCGCAAAGCGTATACTTAGGTAGGATAGCTGAGAGAGCAGAGCGCGCGTATACTGCAGCAGTAGCAGCAGAGCACGTGACTGTTTTGTACAAGGGCTGCACAATTACTGCAGCGCAGCTCCTCTAGCCCGGCGCCCCAAAACGAAATAAAACAAAACAAAACAAGCCGAAAGGCAAGCGAACGAGAGATAGAGAGATGAGAATGTTATAAGCTCGCGAAGGATGGTATTACGGTAATAAATAAACGAGCTGATTGCGCTCTGCGGTGCTGCTGTCGAATGCAGTGGCCGGCTGCAAATACACACACACGAGTATAATACGTATAGCGCGTCGAGCTCTCTCGTACGATTAATCGAGCTGCAGCTCGCGTATGGCTCACCTACATTACGTGCAAGGGCGAGCACTGCAAAGACCACTACTTACACACGTGCGCGCACTTTGCAATATCTCTCTCTCTTCTTTTGCCGCTCGTGTACATGCTGTGGAAAGAAGAAAGAGCCGCCCATGAAATAATAATCAAGAGCCGCGAATCAGCTCAATCAACGCTCGAGCGCTGGACTCGCTTCGACTATAACGTACTAACGTAGTAGCCGTAGCAAAGGAAGTAATAGAGGCCTGACCTAACCCTTTTTCCTAAAGCTCATACATCACTTTCTCTTTCTCTCTCTCTCTCTCTCTTTCTCTCTCTTTCCCTACGTTCCTCGTTAGTTACCTTTCCCCGGACTGCAGCAGTATTCTCTGCGCTGGACGCGCTTACACATTTATATATCATCCGAAGTCGCTGCTGCTACAACTCGTGCGCCCGTGTATCTCTGCTTTTATTTTGCTGCTTTTTTCTTTGACTCGTCGCTCGAATCCTATACTGCCGTTTCGTGCCAATAGGCCCGTCGAGCGCCCCCGAGTAATAAGGAGAAGGAGATATAGCAGCGCGCGGCACATTGGACATGCATACACACGAACTGGCGCACAACGGCGGCACAGACGCACATGGATGCAGCGAGAGCTGGAGCTGGCAAAGGCTTGTTGATGAAAGGGCTCGAGCGCAAAAGTATTAACGAGCGTCGCTGCACGAGTACGAGTATTCATCGTCGTCGTCGTCGTCGTCGTGGTATGCCTAGGCGCCAGGAGCTACTGTACACCGACTCGCTACTCACACATCGGCACGTGTGCCACTACTGCTGCTGCTTATGTGCATGTGCGCGTAGAGCCACTACTACTAGTATTGATGCTTGCATCGCTACTGCAAGCTAGCTGCCTTGTGATTAGCCGCATCGTCGCGATATTTCGCTTCCGTCCTCCCTCGAGGAGATAGTGAGTGAGCGAGCTTTTTCTCTCTCTCCCTCAACGTGTTGTACGTGTGTAACAAAGGACTGCGCTTGTATAGCCGCGAGTGTGTTTTTTCGCTCTGTGTCTGTGTGTCATCTGTGTCTCCTATATATATATATACGTCGCGCAGTGTGCAGTGTGCGGTATATAAAGCTCCGCAAGTATATGTATCGAGCGATATATACACGATATCGGTGCTTTGTTTCGATGCTTGTGCAGCCGCCGTTGTTGTTGGCGCACCGATACTGAACTGCTGCAGCAAGGGAATGAAAAAAATGCACGGCTACCGGACGTTGCCGAGCTTGCTGCCGCTGCTACGTCGGCCGTTCTTGTTGCAGCTGCTGCTGCCGCTGCTGCTGACGACGACTTGGGTCGCTAATATCCAGGCACTTCTGCAGCCATCGGCCGAGATATCGGATCTGGATAAGCCAAGTGAGTTATTTCAAAACCTGATCTCTCTTTCTCTCTTTCTCATTCTCCAACAACTTATATGTACAAACTCCGCAGCAGCTTAATGTTACTTACGACTTATTTTCCTGTATTTATTATGCACGCACGTATCGCACGCGCGGAAAGAGGGACTATCTCCTCTCGCGAGGATAATATAACTGTGACATGCATTTCGATGCGATAAGACTCGCCGGGCGCGTTTGCGATCTCTGCGGCGACAAAAACTTGTCGAACGATACCCCCCATAAAAGCCGACGAAAGCTTGTATCTGCTATATATGTATAAGGAGGATTTACGGGTGTACGTCTGGCGTACTACTTCGACAAAGGTTATGCTTTTTTGCGACTTTGCTTCTTTTACTTGCTTTTTCTCTATCTTCCTTCTCTCCCTCCCTCTCTCTCTCTCCTCTCTCTCTCTCTCTCTCTCTCTCACTTTCTCGAAGTACAAGCGTACGGCGTATATGCAAGCGAGCGCAAAAAGCTTATACATCCTTATCGTTTTGCAAGAGTTTTCCTTGTTATACGGTTTCGTATTGTAAGCCCAAAGAAAAGTCTCGCGAGACCGCTCAAAAGGGTCAGGTCGGGTATTTTATGAATGTTATCGCGCTACTCTCTTTCTCTCTCTCTCTCTCTCTCTTCCAACGAGTCCGATGCCTAGCCTCTTTGCCCTCTTTCCTTAGCTCGTGTAGCTGCTGCGTTTAACGCAAATTTACGAATGGATGACTTGGACAGGCTTTCGTGAAAACATTTTTCAAATTATTACCAAAAAACGATACCGATCGATCGTCGCTCCGCTTCGAGGTCGAACTTTGTGATCTATTGCGATTTCGTTGGATTATTCTCGTTTCGCTACGTGATGTACGGACACGTGTGCTTGCATTTGAATAAAGTCATAATATTGAAACGACAGATCTAAGATATAGGAATGATTTGCGTTTCGCATTTTTTTCTTTCTCTCTCTCTCTCTCTCGCTCTTCCTCTGTCCTTTTCAACCCAACCACTCGAATATAAGTTACATTATACGCAAGTATATACGCGGCGGTCGACTATAATACCCGATCTATGCATAAGTTCTCGACTTCGACGACAACAACAATGGCTTTGCATATTTATATGCAGCCGCGTGAAAGCTGCGCACGCACGCATTTAAATGAACTAATTTTTGCGACTCTCGAGCAGCACGTATATACGTATACATCTATATCACGCGGGCGAGCATAATATAACGATAAAGGGTAATAACGTGTCTTATAGCGCCACCTTTTTTCCAGTCGAGAGATGTATGTGTATATACTGCATACACGTCACCGACGTCGCATAATGAAATACAAATCGATTTTTATACATCAGCGACATGTGCAGCGTGAGCGCGCACACACGCATACACACATATACACACACACAAACTCACATGCACTTGGGAAAGTCTTTTATAATATTATATATGGAACAGGGGCCTCTTGACTTTACAGTTTCAAGATCCAAGATTCTTGGCAAAATTGCCCAGAGGAAGAGTATAGAAGGGGGAACGTGCAGCGCGCTCACGAACCTTATGCTACGCGTTCGCTCTTTCTCTGCAGCTTTATATATATTATATAGGAGCAAGAATAGGGAAACCATGAGGTGATATGAATCGTGGATGGTTCCAGATTATTATAAAAATACCCAAGACTCGCACGGACTTTTTTATCGTACCAATATATACCGAATAGATCTATATCTATGTGCTTTGTGCGTCACATAATCACGAACGAAAGTAAGAGTAGTCAGCGTAATGGGCATAAAATTAGAATTTATCTTATTTAAATTAGGCTTTTTTGACACTTTATATTTACGTTGAGATGATATACTCAAAAACGAAAAAAAATTAGCTCACTGACGTATTTAGACTCGTAGAGAAGTCCGTATTAAGTGAAAATTTCATCGCTGTCGAAATTAGAGTGCTCTTAGGAATTTGTTTTTTCGTAATATCGTCAATAATTTCACAGTTATTATAACATCGATGCGAGGATTTGTTTTAGTCAATACGCACTTGTTCGGTTAACACGTTCAGGTTAAAGCAGTGCAAAATTTTGTTAAATAGATGGCCGTGAAGTATTATGGAGAAATTATTTTTAACCGAGTGAATTGCGAAATACATACAATGTATGCAAATAGCTCCTGAATAACTGTCATGCCTGCTTTTTCGCAGGAATTAGAAAATCATAAAAGCAATTGTTACCTAGATTTATCGTCGTATAAAAGTATTGTTGAACGTACGTTTGAAATTGGACCTTCTTACAATTCGGTGTCATTGTATTTTTTTCACAATTGAAATGGCATAGCGGGAGTATATAAACTGTCGAGTGGCCTCTTTGAAGGGCTCCCACTTTACCAATACCTTTAGCATTATTTTCAGAATAATTGAAATGATTTATATGTAGTCGTAAAAATACTTCGTAGCGTAGGTTTTTCAAGATTCCAATTGACCTAAGTAAATATTGAAAGACTATTAGTTTCAATTTTTCTTGGAATCCGCGTGTTTATTTTGCAGTAAATTTATAGAAATTTGCAGACATAAAAAAACATGCTCTCTCTCTCTGGTTTGCATTGCTTTCGTTATAACGTTGTTCGTGTTTACGGAGTTGCGAGATAAACGTATGTAGGTGCTCTTGAAAATTTTTTAAAATTAAACTTAAAATATGAGTCGGAGCTCGGGCGCTCGAGCGCGACGATTCGTTAAATTTAAATGCCAAACCGCACACGTGTGCTCTTTCTCTCGGGTTGGCTCAGCAGCAGTGCAGAGAATCGCCAGCAGCAGCAGTTTATCGTCCAAGTCGATAATAGATCCGAGGCAATATTCAATTTACAAACACGGGGACGGGCAAAAGTTCAACAAAATGTAACTCGATCTTTGTGCTTTACGAGAGTAAAACGAATCGAGGCGTGCGCAGGCACTCGCGGCTGAGAGCCGTGTCGCCGAATGACAATTTAAAATCGTGATAAATCCTCCGCATTGTTAGCCTTTGGGAGTAATAATAAGCAATCCGCAGTGCGCAGGCCACACGGTATATCAGTCGGGCGTAACGATCAATCCACGCTGCTCTCTACGAACTTATCCGTGGAGCATATAGCCGCGGGAGCCTATGCATCACCGGTGCACACACACGAAATCGTTTATATTATAGCCGACGCGATCGAAAATTTATCCTCTTTGCCATTTGTATTTCGCTCTTTCTCGTCCCTCTCGATATCTCGCTGGGGATATTATATGGTGCGCGCGCGCGAGAGAGGGACGAGCGAGCGACTCATTACCGGAGCGCGAAAAGTGATTGTTTGCTCGTCGGTCTGCTGCCGCAGCAGTTATAACGAACATCGAGCGCGACAGCCCGGTAATATATAGATGTGATGTGTGGGTGCTTATACACATATACGAGCCGTGCGCGCAGTTCAATTCTTCGAAAGACTAATCGCGTATGGTTGCGGGGGGTTGAGAGATCGAGAAAGAGAGCGAGAGAGAGAGAGAGGGGAAGAGCTGAGGTCTGAAAAAAAGCGCGAGACAATCGCGCAGCGTTCGCCGATTCAGCTCGTCGAGCGATGGGCGCCGTGCCATTAAGAATCCTGCGGAACGATGTAAAAAATAGCCATAGAGCCCCGGCGGCGGTGCGGAGGAGTACAAGAAAGAGAGAAAGAACGTCGATCGATTAGATTCCGACGCCGAAGTAAGCCTCATTTCTCTTGTCTCTTCTCTTGTTCTCGCGACGAAGATTCGAATGACACGCGCGTGCTCGCGATCCCGGAGCCAGTTTAATTAAACTACTGCAATAGACAGAAAGAGAGAGAGAGAGAGAGAGAGAGAGAGAGAAAGAGATGGCAAGCAGAGAAGGGAGCGCTAATCCGCGAATGGAATTTATGGCCCTGTGAGCGTAGCGGCGGCGGGCGCGGGTGAGAAAAAGAGGTCGCGTCGAGACAGAGCGGGAACCCGTGGCGGGGGTGAAAAAATCTCTCCTGCGCGCACCGCATCGATGTGTGTGTGTGTGTGTACCTATATTTATACGTATGCCGGCGCATGTGCACGAATGCGTATATAGGCGCGAGCCGACTGTCAGCTGTGCTACACTGCAGCACTGCTTGGAGCGGCGCGACGAGACCCAACCGCATTTTACCTATACCTACCTAGCTGCGATAAATAGAGAGGGACAAAGAACGAAATATTTTTCGAATTTCACGCTGCCGCTGCCGTTTCGCGCGGGTATTATATGTATACCGAATACCGTTTACACGCGTGCATTTGCGCGAACGGCCAACTGCACAAACTATTATACGTGTGTATGCACGTAGCCGCTATATAGCATAACCGATTGCCGCTATTTATCATTTTTCATATACCTGCACCGGTAGTGCAGGATACAGCGATCCCCGTGTACGGCTCTTTTTTTTATTTATTCATTTCGAGATTATTATGGAAATATATCGCGAGGTGGGTTAGGCGCGTGTGCGCGGGTGAGCGCGGCAGAGATTGTATATCGACGATGAAAAGACGCCGTCTGCTTGCCGCCGCCACGCGGAACAAGGTATCTGCGTATATAGGCTGCAGTTGCGTGGCACGTTTTATACTTATATATACGTATACGTAGGGAGCCGCGCACGCGACCATTAATGGCCCCGGCATAATCACTGCCTCGGCAGCGAGCCTAATGAATTAGTGATTCGAAGCGACTACCTGCCGTCATGCTAGTAACGTAGCAGCGGCATACAGCTGCGACATATCCCTTTTTAATTCTCGGCTCGTCCTCGCCGTGGCTCTTCTATATATGTGTATGCACACGCGCGCCCGGGACTTCTTTTATTGGCAGACACGTTTCATCATTCATGATCCGACTCGACAAGAGAGCCAGAGAAAGAGAGAAAGAGAGAGAGAGAGAGAGAGAGAGAGAGAGAGGAAATGAGAGAGACAGAGTCGTCTATATAGACTGAAACATTAGTGCGCGCGTTACATTTATG